TATATATATATATATATGTGTATATTTATGGCGGTAAAACCGCATACCGCACTATTGAGCCACTCAAAATTACCGCAAGGGAAATTCCCTCACCGCGACAGCCCTAGTTCTGCATATCGGTTATCGGGCACATAAACATGCAAATAATTGGTATCGGTATCGGTTATAAAAAAAAAATCAATATCGGTCGATCACTACTTAAATACTCTGTCATTTTTGCTCATACAGAGTAATACATCTTTCGAATTTGTAAAAGGTTTACTTTTATTTGTGTGCACTCACAATATCAAAAAAACGTTGTGCTTTTGTAAAATAATGAAAGCAAACGGTGCGCTTTCTGCCATCTTGGTCACTGTGAACTTGAGATTGAACTTGAAATTGAAAAATGAACTGAAACTCTGTGCTTGCCACACAGACATGAACGATATATCTAAGCAAAATGTCTACTTTTAAATGAACTAATTCAAATGGAAAACAAATATTTTCAGATTATGTAATCCGTATGAAACATGCACGTCCACTGTGGAGAAGACGAGTCAGTGTCTGCGACTTTATCACTGCAGCCAAAACTACAGAAAACTAGTTTATCAATGAATTATTATAATGTTAAGGCAGTCTTCTTGCTGTTTTTTCCCCCTGACGCATTCATAATCATTACTTCTGCCGGTGTGCTGTGGCAAGTTTTATGTGTGCTTGAGGGCTGATATGCTATAGGCAATTAAAGGCTCATTATTATGAATTATATGGTTTATTATTATTAAAGTGCGATAAGTCGACTAATTGCTAAAAATGAACGATGACTAGTCAACTAGAAAAATCTTAAATTCTTAGAATAACTCTTGTTATTCTATAATGTTATTCGTTGATATGTCAAAGCTGAATGTTCAGCATCATTACTCCAGTCTTCAGTGTCACATGATCCTTCAGAAATCATTCTGATATGCTCAGTTTGATGCTCAAAAAACATCTCTGATTATTATCAATGTTGAAAACTACAGAGCTCCATACATGACATGCAGGAAGAAATGTATAGTAATAGAATTAAGAACTCGTTCCCACAGCTAATTCATGACCATGATGTACTAATGATGTACTAAACTCCCCGAGATTAGAGAAGCAGTCGACAGTAAAATGACGGGAACACAAAAAAGATTGGGGTTGTACTTGAGGGCTGATATGCTATAGGCAATTAAAGGCTCATTATTATGAATTATATGGTTTATTATTATTAAAGTGCGATAAGTCGACTAATTGCTAAAAATGAACGACGACTAGTCAACTAGAAAAATCTTAAATTCTTAGAATAACTCTTGTTATTCTATAATGTTATTCGTTGATACGTCAAAGCTGAATGTTCAGCATCATTACTCCAGTCTTCAGTGTCACATGATCCTTCAGAAATCATTTTGATATGCTCAGTTTGATGCTCAAAAAACATCTCTGATTATTATCAATGTTGAAAACTACAGAGCTCCATACATGACATGCAGGAAGAAATGTATAGTAATAGAATTAAGAACTCGTTCCCACAACTAATTCATGACCATGATGTACTAATGATGTACTAAACTCCCCGAGATTAGAGAAGCAGTCGACAGTAAAATGACGGGAACACAAAAAAGATTGGGGTTGTACTGCTGTGAATTTTAACCACTGATTTTTTGCAGCCTCATCTTATGGAAGTGAAAATAAAACTAATTTACTTTCACAGCGTAGGACACAGCATCTTCTCGACACAAACAAACTACAGTGTTTGAATAAAAGTATCAATTTCTAACTAAACCCAACCTTTTGAACAGTAGTGTTTGTATGTTTAAGATCTAGCCAGTCTTAATTGTAAGGAGTATTTTGCATTTATTTAGGTTTCTCCTGTGAAGATCTGTGATTTTGATCTCGGGAGTGGAGTGAAGCTGAACAGTGCCTGTACCCCAATAACTACCCCTGAGCTCACCACACCGGTAATCACATTCTCACATTTGTGATTTTGGCACCCTAGAACTGTAAACGTGTAGAGCAGCATGTTTTGAGGGATGTGTTTTGTCCTCTAGTGTGGCTCAGCTGAGTACATGGCTCCCGAGGTGGTCGAGGTCTTTACGGATGAGGCTTCGTTCTATGATAAGCGCTGTGACCTCTGGAGCCTTGGAGTGATTCTCTACATCCTGCTCAGCGGGAGTCCTCCCTTCACCGGCCACTGCGGCACCAACTGTGGCTGGGAACGAGGAGAGACATGTCGTGCCTGCCAGGTAAGGCACACGCTAATTCAAAAATGTAGAGAATTCACGTCATCCACATAGACAACTTAAAAGTGTTGTCCACTCCTGTTCAGAACAATCTGTTTGAGAGGATTCAGGAGGGGAAATATGAATTTGGGGATGGAGTCTGGGCTCAGATCTCAGCCGATGCCAAAGATCTGATCTCGCGGCTGCTGGTGCGAGATGTCACTCTACGGCTGAGTGCTGCCCAGGTCCTGAAGCATCCCTGGGTGCAAGGGGTGAGACGTTAGCTCTATTTTTCTTAAAGCCTTTTTGATTCCATCTTTTTACTTGTTACTTGTTTCAATAGGAGCAGTTAAAGGCACAATATGTAAGATTTTTTTATTAAAATATCCAAAAACCACTAGAACAGTGTTATATATTTTGCTGACTTGTGTACTTACATTATCCCAGATGAGATGATTATATTTTTTCATTTTATGTATTTTTTTTCATGGTTCTGCTTTATGCCTGTTAAGAGTGTTGAACATTTTGTTGTAAAAGTGAACTATTTTTATATGCATCAGGGCAATGAGCCGGTTCTGCAGACGATTCTGTTACGAGATGGAGTATGTTTTACTTTTTTGGTTTGTATTTAGTGCAAATTGTGCCATTTTGGGAGGGGGCAAAGCTCCTAATGTGCAAAATAACCAACATATTGTGCCTTTAAATAACTAAGAACCAGTCGTTTGACACAAAATAGATGTCATGTAAAAGCTCTGTACTTTAGAGAAAGTAAATTAATTCAAAAGGTTGGGGTATTTTTTATTTTTTTTTAAGTAATACTTTTATTCAGCAAGGATGCATTGAATTGATCAAAAGTGACAGTAAAAACTTTTATATTGTTACATAAACTCTTTATTTATCAAAGAATCCTGAAAAAACGTAATAGTTTCCACAAAAATCTGTTTTATTGATAATAATAATTTTCTTAAGCAGCAAATCAGCATATTAAAATATTTTGAAAATTCAGCTTCGCAATTGCAGGAATAAATTACATTTTAAAATATATTTAAGAATTTTTTTTTTTTTAATTGTAATAATATTTCACAATATTACTGTTTTTACTGTCTTTTTTTGTAAATAATGCATCCTTGCTGGGCATAAGAGACTTCTTTCAAAAACATTATCAAATCTTACCAACCCCAAAGGTTTAGTCGGTAGTATACATTATACAAATCAAATGTAATAATATACAAAATTTATATCATATATATATATATATATATATATGTGTGTGTGTGTGTGTGTGTGTGTTGTTTACTTTTATTACATTTTTATTTACTCATTTAAATTTTCAGAATGCACCTGGAAGAGTTCTTCCGACTCCTCGTGTTCTACAAAGGTATTTGATTTCGATGCAGTAGATTAAGTACATTTTCCAGTTTCTGTAATGTTTCTAACCATCTCTCTGGTTGAACCTACAGAAACTGCAGCACTAAAGACCTGACACAGTTCGCAGCTGATGCCATCGCGTTCAATCGGCAGCTGTCTCAGAAGGAGGAAGAGCAGGAGGACTTCGGTGCCGTGGTCTGCTCCATGAGGCTCTCCCCTCCATCTAACTCTAGATTAGCCCGTCGCCGAGCACAATCTCAAGCACTACGCGCCAATAACTGATGCCTACCCACCGCACAGGTGCTCCAGTTATACTCGTGCACACCATAGTGCATTATAACCCTTCATACACATACCTTCTCTGGCGAACGGATGGGTTCTTGAGCAAACACACATGTATATGCACCACAGTCGCAGTGCTACCAACTTTGTAGCACAGACTAACCTTATATATATACACAAACCAAAAACATCCAAACATTTCTAATTTATTTACAGGTCTCTCACTCTGTGTAATATGAGTTTTTTTGTGTTTTAAGCATCAGAAATTGTGCTTGTTTTTATATTTATTACCAAATATTTATGGCTGGTGGTCAGTCAGATATAAAAAGGGTGTTCAGCTCTGAGGGAATCTACAGACGGTTTGATTTTTATGTTGCCACATCAGTGAGGCTTTTAATCAACATTAGCATTTCTATTCTTAACAAAACATCGATTCTTTTAACATTTTTAAAAACCGCTCGAGTTACTGTAAAGCACAGGACCTCTTGCTTTGTTACTTTTTTTATTGTTTATTTATATAACGTCTAGCTGTAGTCTAGTTATTGTTGTGTGAATAATGTTTTGGTTTATTTGAGCAATGTAAAGCCATGCTGCCTGACAGTAACATACACATTATAAGCTGTATCATTGTGTATGTCTTAAGTGGAAATGCAATCAAGAGGTATTGCTGCTTTACTGAGGATGCTCATTAGGTGTTACATATATTTGGCCAGATATTTTCAGCTCAAATAATTAGTAAATATTGCACAGTACGTATTTTTGTCTTTTCAGATTTCAGAAATGACATAACGTTTTGATGTTTTAATGATAATACTTGGGTAAATGCCACAATATCCATCTAATCTGCTAAAAAGCATCTCATATTTATTATTCTCTAAAAAAAAGATGTGGAGCAGGCGTACATACTTGCCACCTGTACCACCCTTGTTTTGTTACATATAACACAAACCCATTCTGGATAATAATAAAGCGTTTTTACGTAAATGCAATCTTTATCCTAAGGTATTTGGCCAAAATCTTCCAGATCACTATTCAATTGTTCCTCTGCACAGTATAATCAGAGATGGGTAGATTAAAAATTGTAATCTGTTTCTGATTCCAAATTACATGACAATGTAATCCATTATTTCACATTTTAGGTAATATAATCAGACTACTTTTGGATTACTTTTAGATTACTTTTGACCTAACTCGTTTATCACTTTGATTTAAATAGAATGATCTTGTACCATATTGATATAAAAATACAAAGATTAAGAAAATATATTCCATTTGTTGTAATTGTTGTATCAACATGAAGTGCATTAAACATTATATTACATCAAGGTTTCCCAAACTGCGGTTCGTAAAGGAACTGCAGGAGGTTCACGAGTTTAATGAAAAGCTAACAAATAATTAAATCATAAAAATGTAAAATTAAAATAAATCATTTTAAAATAACAATCAAAATAAAACACTTACTAAAAAATATTAATTTTATGTTTACCTGCATGCCATGTGACCATTAACCAACGTCAGAGAACCGTGAACATGCAAATGTGACAGGCCTACTTAATTAGGCCTATTGAAATATTTATTTTTAAAATCAAATTATTTTAAGTAAACATATTAGATGAAAGAGGTTCAGACGACAAAAAGTTTGGGAATGTCTGCATTACATGTAGGTAAATAAGAAATAATGTGAATATGTGCATTTTTAATGTGTTTGAAAGACAAAAGCCTTCCAAAACTATAGTAATACATGGTCAAATAACTTACTGAGTGATAATTCAAATAAAAATGTGTTCATCAGTAGCCTAGTTGATGCAATGTTGAAACACTTCTTAAACCTGAAATAATATTTGTAAATCTAGTGGTCAAATGCTGTGTATCCACCTTCTTTGTGTCAATATCCACAAAACTGGACTTTCTGAGTGTAGCGGTAAGATATTTTAGAAAGGAAAATTTAAAAGATGAAAAAGAGGAATTAGGGCGAATCAGTAAATTATGAATAATTTATTGCTATTGTGTGAATAATATATAATCATGTAGTCAATAAAAAAGTAACTGTAGTCTGATTACAAGTATTTTAAAATGTAATTTACTCTAATTACAAGTACGTAATTTTTGGAATCTGATTACGTAATCCAGGTTACATGTAATCAGTTACTGCTATTTCAGTTCATTGTCCTTCAACACTGACGCATGCGCAGACGCTCAGTTCCTGTGTCGCCATGTCTGCTACGCATGCGCATTGTCGGGCTCAAGCGGCACTATATATCAGCTGTCGAGCCTCTGCCCCATTCCACCTTCAGCCATTTTAACGATGTTGGGAGCTGTGGGACGCTGCTGCACCGGGGCTTTGCAAGCTCTCAAGCCCGGGGTGACCCCCCTGAAGGCTTTCAACGGAGCTCCAGCAGCTCTGTTTTCTCGTAAGTACAATTCATTGGTTGGTTTTTAAAACGGTTGGGTTTAACGCAGCTAACCCGACAGCAGCGTCATGCTAAATGGCAGCATGCAGGCCGCAAAGTCCTAACCTCACCGTTTCCAGTGATTGCTTTCGCGTGATGTGCTACATGTAGGAAAGAAACTGGATGGAAATAAACTGACATAACGGAATACTTAATTTGACGTTTAAGCTCATTCTGGTGGGTATGAAAACAGGAATGACCTTTATGTGTCATGCGCTGCTAGCTGTGATCGCAGCTCGCGAGGTCACGGTACAGATAAACATGTTGAATAAGATCACGAGTAAATGCAACCACATTTATAAACATTTACAGTCTCGAAATGCAGATCGCAGGCAGATCCCAACAGATTTTGATTTTCTACAACATCGATTTAACGTACTTGCGTTCATTCATTAGCCTGTTTTGACTTCTGAGGACGCTGAGCAAACATAAACTATAGTGACTAATCAAAATAAAAGCGTTCAAGTGTGCATGTACATATTTTTAGATGTTTCAATTGCAAAAAGGTTATTATCCGTGTCAGTTACATGCGATATTTCTCTTCCTCTCTCAGGCAGGGATTATGCCGCTCCTGCCGCAGCTGCTGCCGCCGCCAGCGGGCGTATCGTTGCGGTCATCGGTGCCGTTGTGGACGTACAGTTCGACGAGGATCTGCCCCCTATTCTCAATGCCTTGGAAGTGGCCGGCCGTGACACCAGGCTAGTCCTGGAGGTGGCTCAGCATCTGGGTAATGAGACTAAAGCTTTTGAATCTGAATTGAAAAGTCATGATAGACTTGTAAAGTAACTTTTAACTCTTCTTTAGGTGAGAACACCGTCCGCACCATTGCTATGGACGGTACTGAGGGTCTGGTGCGCGGTCAGAAGGTTCTTGACACCGGTGCCCCCATCAGAATCCCTGTGGGACCTGAGACACTTGGCAGGATCATGAATGTCATCGGCGAGCCCATTGACGAGAGAGGACCAATTACCACAAAACAGTGAGAGTTTATTAAGAACACTAAAGCAACTTAATCGTGTTTGCAAGCTCATTTAAGGAGCATTAGTCTTCTTGTAAAGTAGACAATTGAATGTTTGAGATGCAGGCAGATGTGCCGTTGCTGTTGAGTTGATTGTGATCTGTTGTTCAGGACTGCCCCCATCCATGCGGAGGCCCCAGAATTCAAAGACATGAGTGTCGAGCAGGAGATTCTGGTCACAGGAATCAAGGTCGTAGATCTGCTGGCACCCTATGCCAAGGGTGGCAAGATCGGTATGTGTGTGGATATACTACTGTTAAAAAAGATTGGGCTCAGGTATTTTTTAATGAATGCTTATTAAATTGATCAAAAGTGACAGTAGAGACCCTTATAATGTTATAACATTTCTAGTTTAAATCGGTGCTTTTTATTCTTTATTTTCTATTCATCATAGAATACTGAGAAAATGTATCGTGGAGTTCTTTTCAACATTTGATAAGTGTTTGAGCACCAAATCAGCATATTAGAATGATTTCTGAAGGATCATGTGACACTGAAGACTGGAGTCAAATTCAGCTTTGCCATCACAGAAATGAATATAGATTTAAAGTGGAAAAGTTATTAAGTTATAGTATTATTTCAAAGTATTACTCTTTATTGCATTTGATCAAATAAATGCAGCCTTGGTGAGCATAATAGTTTTTCAAAAACATTAGAAATAAATCTTTGACTCCAAACTTTTGAGACATATATTAATTTTTTGGGGGGGATATTTCACCCAAAAATGGTCGTTTACTCATCAAGTTGTTCTAAACCTGTATGAGTTTCTTTGTTCTGTTGAACATAAGACATTTGAAGAATGTGTGTAAACAAGCAGTTGCTGGAAGCCATTGACTTCCATAATATGGGGAAAAAAGATACTATTGAAATCAATGGGGACCAGAAACTGTTTGGTTACCAGTGTTTTTCAAAATATCATCTTTTGTCTTCAGCAGAAGAAATAAATTCATACAGGCTTGGAACAACTTGAGAGCGAGTAAAAGAAAATTTTTGGGTGAACTATCCCTTTTAATTGAAGTGTTGGTGTATGGAGTTTTATAATTTGCTTGCTTTGAATCCTGCTATGTTTTAGCTAACTAAAGGCATCTAATTTCTTCAGGTCTTTTCGGTGGTGCTGGTGTGGGAAAGACTGTATTGATTATGGAGCTGATCAACAACGTGGCTAAGGCTCATGGTGGTTACTCCGTGTTTGCTGGTGTGGGAGAGAGAACCCGTGAGGGAAATGATCTCTACCATGAGATGATCGAGTCTGGTGTCATCAACCTGAAGGACACCACGTCAAAGGTAACTTGAAGATCTAAAACGCCTGTGATACACCAGTTAAAATCTATTATTACCGTAAGAATTGCAGTAAGTTACAAACTCCTCTCGGTTCCCATTAGGTGGCGCTGGTGTACGGACAGATGAATGAGCCCCCTGGTGCCCGTGCCCGCGTGGCTCTGACTGGACTGACCGTTGCCGAATATTTCCGTGACCAGGAGGGGCAGGATGTGCTGCTCTTCATCGACAACATTTTCCGCTTCACCCAGGCTGGATCGGAGGTCAGCGTTGGATCATTTGGACCTGTTCTTTGTCTTTTTAATCTGAATTGAGTTTTATTGACTGGCTTTTATTTCTGTTCTCACAGGTGTCTGCCCTGCTGGGCCGTATCCCCTCTGCTGTGGGTTATCAGCCAACTCTGGCCACTGACATGGGTACCATGCAGGAAAGAATCACCACCACCAAGAAGGGTTCAATCACATCTGTGCAGGTACACTTCCTTCTGTTTGCACAGCACACTCTGGCGCTTCCTGGATCTCTTCTTCATGTTCTACAGTGTCATTGTCTCTCATAGGCCATCTATGTGCCTGCTGATGACTTGACTGATCCTGCCCCTGCCACAACTTTTGCTCACTTGGATGCAACCACTGTGTTGTCCCGTGCCATTGCTGAGCTGGGCATCTACCCCGCTGTGGACCCACTGGACTCCACCTCCCGTATCATGGACCCCCATATTGTGGGATCTGAGCATTATGACATAGCCCGTGGCATCCAGAAGATCCTCCAGGTGAGCACCAACGAATATGGGCTTCGTCTGAGCACTTTGCTCCATTTTTGAATTCCAATCCATGACCTTGTTCTCGCTCCTCACCCTCATAGGACTACAAGTCCCTGCAGGATATCATTGCTATTCTGGGTATGGATGAGTTGTCGGAGGAGGACAAGCTGACTGTTTCTCGTGCACGTAAGATCCAGAGGTTCCTGTCCCAGCCCTTCCAAGTCGCTGAGGTCTTCACTGGACACTTGGGCAAGCTGGTGCCCCTGA